ATGAAAACAAAAATGCCATTAAACATGATTCACACCTTTGAATAGTTCATTATTATTCTGCATCTTAATCTTCAAGACTATTTATGAAATATTTGAAAATATATTTTGTAACATTAAAAGTTGTAATTTTTTTTTGATAGTTTTTAATCTCATAAGTTAAAACTAACGGACAAAGATCGACTATCTTTGAAGTCGATTATTTTTGTGCCTTCCTTCTATCTCTCTAACTATTTTTTTTCTCTATTCAACAAAATATATTATTTTAATTACTCATTTGACTTTTAAAATAACCAAAATACACTCAAGGAACCAAGGCACCATTAACCAAAAGTAGCCAATCCTCTCTCAAAAGTATTAAATTCTTAATTCATATACTTCTTACTCCAATAAATTAAACAAAATTATAAATGCTTCAAGTAAAAGTCAACTTACCAAACACCAATATCTCTTTTCATGATTCCACCTTTAAATCATAATCTAAGAAAATACATAACTCATGATTACGTCGTACCAAAAGTGTCATCAATTTTATAGGTTAAGCTAAATAGAGGGATTTTTTTGGTGAACAATTATATGGATGTAATGAGTACTACACTACACCCAGTAAACGTGAATAATGGGCAGGGTAGAGAAAAATGCATGTGGATCTAAATATAAAAGATGTAATATGAAAAAACAACCATTAAGACGTACCACACGTGTATAGGTTAAGCTAAAAAATAATGGCTTTTTTATGCACAACTTTCTACATGTTCTGCTATTTTTGTTGTAACATAAACTGCTAACTGTTTTACAGGCTAGAGAAAGACATAAGGGTTAGCTACTCGTTAACAAGAGTCTGTAAACTTTTATGCGTAAGTAAATCACTAAAGTTTCTCTACGAGTAAAGACTGAAATAAGATATAACCATCAAATTGTCTAATTTAGGTTCTTAATTTGGTGCTTCACTTTTGTTGGTTTATCATAGGTTACGCTATTTGCAGTGCACTTCACAGGCTGCGTGTATTTTTGGTTGGCTTACCATCACGAATCACCTGAAAATACATGGATTGGGAAGCAGGTAAAGGATTTTAAGCAAAGGAGTGTAGGGTCGGGATATACTTACTCCATGTACTGGTCTATTGTAACCCTTACTACCGTTGGCTATGGAGATTTGCATGCAGAAAATACAACAGAGAAAGTTTTCAATATATTTTACATGTTGTTTAACATCGGCCTCACTGCATATATTATCGGAAACATGACAAATTTGGTGGTTCATAGCTCTGTCCGAACCTTTGCCATGGTAAATTTTATGAAGATTTTCATGGTAGTTTAATACTTGACTAAGCATTGCAGTCGATAATACTAACGTCAATATGATACAAGGATTAAGAATAGGCTAAAATTTATTCAATAAGAAATACTTATGTGCTTCACAGAGGGATGCCTTCAATAAAATATTACAATATGCGAGCAAAAATGGACTTCCAGTAGGATTGAAGGAGCAAATGTTGGCACATACACAACTGAAGTTTAAGACAGCAGAGTTACAGCAGGAAGAAGTACTACAGGACCTACCTAAAGCAATCAGAGCCGGTATTGCTCAGCATCTTTTCCACAACGTGATTGAAAAAACATATTTATTTAAAGGAGTCTCAGATGATTTTATATCTCAGCTGGTAATGCTTTTTTTGTCTTTCTCTTAACTACATAATACTTCCTTATTTCACAAGTGTTAAAAATTGTTTCAAATTGCACCGTCTAATTAATATTATGTAGTTTCTAAACATGTCAACGGCATTTTAACATATCGTCAGACACTGTGACAGGTATCAGATATGAAAGCAGAATACTACCCATCAAAGGTTGACATTATCTTGCAAAATGAGATGCCAGCATATTTCTACATTTTGGTATCCGGATCGGTGGTAAGACATTTATCTTATTCAAATCCTACTCTAGTACCTGCCTTAATTAGTTAGCTTCAAACTGAAATATTTCTAATTGCAGGATGTTTTGATATACAAGAATGGATCCGAAAAGGTAAGAGGGAATTCCTCCAAACAATTGACATTTTGGAGTGCAAGTACTAAGTAGTGTGTCTAGGGTAAAATAAGCAATAACTGGATACACCTAGTGATTCAGTTAGATTAGAAATTAGAGAACCTTGTATTTATTATAAGTTTTGAACTATGGAGATTGGAAAGTATCTCATAGACCTGCATAACCAAAAAACATATTGCTTCAACCTGAGGTAGGAGTCATTTGGGAAGGTCATGCTTATTTTACAGAATGTTCATTATCTTCAAGCACTTTCAAGTAACCTGCTGAAACAAACAAATCAAACTAAGTTAAACTCTTTGAACCGTGTCCAGAGAATATCTTAATCAGACATGTAAATGGAATGGATGGTTGAGCTACACACTAAGAGATACAAGTGTACATACCAACACTACATTTAATGGGCTAAAAGTAGAGAAATAAAAAGCAATTATTCAAAAGAAGTATTTGTGTTTCTTAGCTAATTACAACTCTCAATGTATTACTAAGCTCATAAGAGTTTTTTCAGTTTTTGTTCAAACTAGAACCTGGAAGCATGGTAGGAGAAATAGGTGTGATGTTTAATATCCCGCAACCTTATACAGTGAGAAGTAGAAGACTCTCCCAGCTTATACGAATCGATCATCATCATTTCAAGCAGATTGCAAAACCATTTAATGAAGATGGAAAGGCGGTCATCAGCAATTTTACTCAGGTTTGCAGATTCGTCCATACATAAAAAACAACAGACATATAGCAAACCACACACACGCGCACACACAAATACTTGCATTTGAAAGTTGATTACTTAATTCACATTCTTAAAATTTGGGAGCAATTGATAACCCAAAATCCCCACATTTTTTCCTGAAACTTCTAAATATACAAGGATATCAAATTTTCAGACCAAATATCATTGCCAACCACATAGTCTGCAAGAATATGTCCAAATTCCCTTCAAATAAATTTCATGTCAACAAGTCCATATATTTATGTGTTAGTTAATGCTGGTTCTTCTATTCTACTCAGTTTTTGAAGGGACTAAGAGGCGGGGTGCTGGAAGAAGTACCATTCGTAACAGAATTTCTGAGCGACTTGCATGACGAGGTATATCTTTTCCTTTGAATTTCAATCACTAAAACTTTTAATTAGTCTACTGATTTGCATAAACATTTTACTAATGCTCAGATATAGAATTTTTAACAATAAACAAAACTTCATGGATCAAAAACGTCCTTTGTACATAGCTAAAACCTTATATTATATACAATTAGCGTGTGGGAGAAAGATAGCAGTCACAAGTACAGAGTTATGCCTGAAATACCCAAAGATATTGAATATCCTTCAGTTTTAAACCATGTTTTGAAGAAGTGGAACAAAGTGAAGGAAAAAAGAAGAAAACCTTCTTAAAATCAGAAATTTTCCATGACCAACTCTCTCAAGGTTTACATTTCTAACAATGTGTATGAATACATGAATCAGCAAAACTAAAGATACTATTTTTTTAGTTTACACTTTTACTTGAAGGATAGTATGAACTAGAAAGAAAAATGTCACACAAAACAATAAAACTAGACATTTTACAGTGGATAAAATCCCGCCAGAAAATAAAGAATTTCTGGCACAGACAAACAGATCTAATTTATGATGAAAATTGTGTGATTTTTGCAGGAACAGACACAAAATGAGGGTACACAAGATGAAGTTTCAGAGTATCATGAAGAAGGTAACCTTAATCTTATGTTTAGAACAAACATTTATGTGCTCGATTACGAGGGTGAGCGTGAAAGAAAAAGAGGTTAACAAAAATTTAGAGTATCATTCAAAGGCAGATTATGTGATCCATTAACTTACAACAACTTGTACATAATTTTTTTAACACATACACCACTTAATAACTTTTTTATATGAAAAGAATTTTACTAATCTGCTGTATGGTCATGTGATATTATTTAATGATGCAAGTGTTAAAGTTTGACACCTTGTACTGGTTTTGATCATATCTCTCCAATAATTGAAGCAAGATACGCCACTAGCGGCGTCATGCGCATGCCTCTTGGTAAAAAAAGCATAACATCAACCTTCAGCTATTCATGAAAGCAACATTCCTTGTTGTGCCAAGCTCAAGATATCTTTAACAAAAAAACAAAACTGTCTTGATTGCTATCGTAGTTCAATTGCCAAGCTCAACTCAAACTCTACATGAAATGAATATCTTGATATGGAAAGGTGGCCTAGGTTGCTTTGTTCAGTTTGTTTACTCAACCTTATTGTCCAATATTTATAAGGCTATGGGATTCAACCAAAAAATTCACTGAAATTTTATGACTTCATTTACATGCTTATCTATCTTAATTCTTAACTCATAGACTCGTGCTAATTACTGCAGGACAAACAGAAAATTCCACTCAGCTGTCAAGCCTAGTTCCCATTAGAGTCAAAATCCACGGACACCACCCCAATGGAAAAAATGAAATTGGAACAACACCAAAGCTCATTACTCTACCAGATTCGGTTGAAGATCTTTTCAGAGTAGCAGGTATGAGTATATCTAGCTTTATTCAAAATGCATTGCATGGCTCAAAAATAATAAAAATCAATTGCACATAAAATTATGATCTTATTCCTCCATTCATAGCATTCAACTTATTCAGGCAACAGCAACAACATATTACAATAAAAATTTGACTAAACTGATTCATCGTTTGTGTACGCAGAGAACAAGTTTGGCAAAAAAAGAAGCAAAATTCTTATGGCTGACGGCTCAGAAGTAGAAGATCTAAGCGCCTTAAGAGAGAACGACGAGTTATATATCCTCTAATCATAGTATAAAATAGAGTTAACGATAATCATCTTATCTAAACAGATATAATTGCAATGTATAAAACTAAGAACAACACACATCGAATTTCAAAATATATAGAATTAAATTCTCATAGATTAAAATGAAAAAGATCAAATAATACCCTAGGGGACTTTTAATCTCTGTTAAGCATGTCGAGAACAGCATAAGCAGCTTTCTGGAAGTGATTTTTCTCTTCATCTAAAGCCGTTTTCCTCTCAACGGCAGAAGATTTACATTTCTCGATCTCCTCCTCTATCACTGCAGAATTTTGATTAATCTCACTACAAAATTAGTATTTAAAAAAACTGTTAGATCATAAATCACAAAATAATCACTAGATTTTACCGTCAAACATAACAAATAAATCATAATTATCCATAAATTGAATAAACAGTGATGATTAAGTAACTAACGCTGTCATCTTAAGCATGTTCTCCATTATTCCTTGAGCTTCATTCGATATCTCTGCGCGATTAAGCATAATCGTTAAAGATGAAATTCAATGATTAATCAAATCGTGCATTGTTAGAATTAGATTACATAATTCAAATTACACAATCGCTTTTAGTTTGATCCGAATGGAGGAATGAAGATCGAATCGAATATGATTCGAAGTAGCAACTAGGTTAATTAATCGAATCGATTTTGAGTTGTTTAAACGCACCGTAGATGAGAGAAGAGAGTTGGTTTTCGATTTCTGGTTCTGCTGGTGGTGCTGATTCTGAACCCGCCATTGATTTCAATCTTGCTTCGGAGGGAAATAACCGTTTCGCGCACTTTGCCTCCCAAAGCTAAAAAATTAATTCTTAAATGTATTGATTTTTAACTTTCATCTCTTCATTTTAAAAATTAATTTTTTTAGTCCTTAAACTTTATCTCCCTTAAAACATTATTGGTTTCCCTCCATTTTTGAAGACGTGAGATTGATGATTATGACAAAAAATTTAATTTTTAATGAGTTGACAATAATAACTAGAATAATTTATGCTTTAATATTTTTTATATAATAAATTTATTTATTTAATTAAGTTTTAAAAAAATATATTTTAAAATTATTTATTACAAATATTAAAATTATTTATTACAAAGCTTAAAAGAATTTACTAGCTTTAAAACCCAAATGTTTGTAACATTTTACTGGCCCACAAAAAAGTTTAGTCTTTATATAGATCTAGAAAACACATTATAAAGAGCAGTTGTGGTCTGGATAAATGAGCTTTAAGTCTAAAAAAGCTCATATAAAATCTGTAAAAAATATTTTTAAAATATGTTAAAAAAATTAATTTAATTAATTAATTTATTCTATATAAGAGTATTAAATAATAGATTATCCTAATCAATATTATCAACTCACTAAAATAAAAATTTTATCCTAATTAGTCTGAAAAGTTAGAGAGAAATTAAAGTCTTTAGAAAAATAAAATTGAAAGATTAAAAATGTGTTAAAATATATTTTAAAATTAAATTTTAAGATTAACTTAAGTCTTGAATGAATGTATTTTTTTTGAAATAGTTCAGCGAAATTTTATTTTAAAGATAAATAAATAGGAAAACTATATACTTTTTATAGCATATATTTTAACATTATTATATAAAATTTTCAAGTTACAATGTTCAACTTTTTAAAATGAAGTATTAAGATTATTTAGTCTTGAGTAGGCATGACAATGGAGTTGGTTGAAGATAATTTTGACTTTTTCAAACTTAAATATGAATTTTCAAGCAACTATGTTCTCAGGCTTAAACATTTTAAAATAGAGAATTAAAACTCAAAATCATTTAATAAATTCAGGTCTGGTCCCATTTTAATTTATTTAATAAAATTAATTTTTTAATAAAAATATTTATTTTTTCAAAAATCAAATTAAATTAAAAATAATAAAATAAAATAATTTCAAAAAATTTCACATGCATTTAAATATTTAAATAATAAACATAAATTAAAATATTAATCACATATTTAATGTTATAAATTATCAAAACTGAATAATAAAATATATGAAACAAATTCAAAATAGATTTGAAGTATTCCATTATCCGACTTGTCTCTTTATCTTATAATCGACAAAAATTCAAACTTAAACACAAATTCATTTAAAAAGGGTTTTCTCCATTAGAGAATTCGAGTGAATATCTACTAGTATGGATTATACTCTGTCTTCTAGTCTTCTAGGAGCATATATCTTTTCAGGAGCATATATTTTATTGTTCACGTGTAATAGTTACCAAACCGATGTCAGTGCTCCTGAAACAATAGAAAATAACTTAAAATAATACTGCGTTTCATAATCCCCTGCAAGAATTCTTTTTATTCCTGAGAACATTTGAAGCCTTGAAAAGACGGTGAGATAATGATAGCTTCAAGAGATTTATAATTATATAATAATAATAAAGAAAGATAATGATGACAGAAAATTATTTTGAAAAGTACTAATCAAACAGTCTCTAAACTACTTTTACATTTTTAATTAATCGATAGAAGTGTAACATGGATTATGTGCCTCCACCGAAAGTGTCTTGTTAATGCAACACTTTTTTTTTAAGAGCATTAACTTAAAAGAAAAAACAAATTGACAACATATTAAAACAAAATAATAGAAGGCATTGGTACACCTATAACAAATTGATAACAAATAATTTGTATCTTTAAATTCTTTTTTTATTTATGTTAGTTATGACAGCTTATGGTATACCTATGCCATTAAAAGTATTGGTTCGGACTCAATAATTAATATGCAATTTTTTAATATTTATTATATTCATAGTCTTATTTTGAGTCTTCTTTCTGGTAGTCAATTGTGTGATTTTGATTACTCTATTATATTTTTTTCTATTTTGTATTGTGCACAGGATCCACATTTTGAAAGGTTGGTTAGGACATGTCGTAGATAAAGGGACTTTATATTTTGGATGAGTTGAAAGTCTTAAATACAGCAGCCTCAACTTCTACTTTCACTACTAATTTATTAGCTTTTTTTCGTTTGAATTCTTCGTCTTTTAATTTTTATTTATGGTATTCACGTCTAGGACATATATCTGCTTCTAGATTAAAGTACTTGGCTTTTACTGGAATTTTAGGAAAGTTACAAACCCGTGATATTTCAGATTGTAATGGTTGTAAACTTGCAAAATTTCCAGCTTTACCTTTTAATAAAAGTGTTTCTATTTCATATGCACCCTCAGACTTGGATCACTCTGATGTATGAGGTTCATCAATGGTTATTACCAAAGGTATATCTAGATATTATGTTTTGTTTATTGGTGACTATACTCATTACTATTGGGTTTACCTTATGAAAAATGATTCTGAATTTTTTGACATTTATCATATGTTTTGTGCAATGGTTAAAACGCAACATAATGTTGTTATAAAGTACTTCCATTGTGATTTAGGTGGTGAATATAGCTCTAATAAGTTCTCTGAATTACTTGGATATGATGATATTGTTTACCAGAAATTTTGTAGTGATACTCCTCAATTAGATAAAGGTGTTGAAAGAATACATTATCACATTGTTGAGATTGCACATTCCTTTTCGTTGAATGCTTTAGTTCCTAGTGAGTTTTTGGGTGAAGCAGTTCTTACTGATGTTCATAATATTAATATAATCCTATCTTCTGTCACGTCATTTTTGTCTACTTTTGAAATATTGTATGATTATATCTATGATTATTCTTCTTTGAAAGTCTTTGGCTTTACTTACTTTGTTCTTATTCCAAAAGTAGAACATAATAAGTTATCTTCTCGTTCTGCCATATGTGTTTTTCTTGGTTTTTGGGATAGTAAAAAGGGATACGCTTGTTATAATCCTAAATCAAGAAAAATTTATGTTTCTCGTCATGTTGTTTTTCTTGGACACATTCCTTTTTTTCTCTCTTTCGTTTGATTCTCATATTACTAGTAGCTCACAACTCACCCATATTGATCCTTTTGGTCTTAATGATGATATTTTTATTGATTGTAATTTTGTGAATTGCAAGTTTGATATTACTACTAATCCCAATATTGACATCCCTCTTGTCCCCACGGTTACCCAACAACCTCCCACAAATGTTGATCCTTCTCCTCCTCCTCCCCCTCCTCCTCGTTATCTGTCTCGTGATCATAAGTCTAATCAGTTGCATGATTTTGTCTATTCCACTTTCTTTGCTTATTTTTCTTCTTTTCCTTTATTCAAAATTTTTACTAATACCTTTTTATACTTGACCTTCTTTGGCATCAGATTATGATAGAAAAACTCTATGATCCACATAAGACAAATACTTGGGAGTTAGTTAGTCTCCTGGAAAACATGTTATTGGATCTCGTTGGATACAAAATTAAAACTAAGTTTGATGGGTCAGTTGAACGGTACAAAGCATGTCTGGTTTCTAATGGAATCTTTCAACAATATCGTATGGATTATGTAAAAACCTTTGATTCAGTGGCAAATATGACTACTATTCACACTCTTATTGGAGTTTCATCGGTTCGCCAATGGCATATTTCTCAAATGGGTGTTATAAATGTTTTTCTAAATAATGGTCTTCAAAAGGAAGTCTATACGGTACCTCCTCTAGGTGTTTCTCATAATCATGGGGAAATGTGTAAGTTGAAGAAGATTTTATATTGTTTGCGTTTCGTTTGGGAACCAGAAATGGATGTAGTTGGAAAACTGATGATCTTGAACGATGACTCTGATATCCTTTACAACGACGTAGGGTGGACCTGCATGGTTAGCACTCCAACGTCCAAGTCAGTTTAAGATTTAATATGAGTATAGTGAAAAGCGGAGATCAGATATTATACCTTGCTCTTAACATGTGAACTAATTTTATACCTTAGGCCAACTGGAGTGAATTTGAGATGGATTGGGCATTGGTCCTTTGGGTCTTTGGTCGGTCCTGAACAATTGTCCCAAGACTTTTCTGAGAACTGAAGGAGTTGTTGTCGCACCTCGAAAAAATTCATTTCGAACATACGACCCTCGCGCGAAAGGCGCGGAAATGCGGTTCGACAGAGTCGCCACCGAACTTTATTTTTCCCGAATGAACGGGAGAGGAAAATATCGAGAAAACCTCATAACGCGGAAGGAACACGGTCGTCGCAACCATATTCCTGGGTTCGGGAGTCGGTTACGTGAGGGGAAGGTATTAGCACCCCTCACGTCCGTCGTACTTGACGGGAACCTCTTAATTCGAGTTAATGGATGTTAGCTAAACTTATTCTTCTCTTCTCGCTACTAAATGCTAAAGGATACTATAAAGGGATAAAAACACTAGGGGAAAGGGGATGGTTAGAAGATAGGGTGCTCGCCAAGGATTGGGGCCCTTGTGCCTACGTATGCTCATTCGGACGAGAATGAGAAATTAGAGCGTCGTAGTTTAACTACGGGAAAGGATGAGGGGAAACGGAAGATGGAGGAAGATAGAAGTGTGGAATAGGGGAGAAGAATGGGAAATGTGCTCGTCAAGATCATCGCAACCTTGTGCCTACGTATCTTATATTCAAGAATGAATAAAGAATCAGAGCAGTCGTAGTTCGTGGTAACAACCACGAAAGAAACGGGTTTGAATTGGATTGAAAAGGGTACGAATGACGATTACTTGAAGCTTAAGAAAGACTGCTCGTACCCAAGTAATCGGGAGAGCGAACCAAAGACTTGGAACACTCTCTTTTTCATCTTGAAGAATAATGTTATGTTTGAATGGTGTTTGAACTGATGACGATTACTTTAGCCTAAGAAAGATTTCT